ATAACATAAACAAAAAGTAGTTTAATGAAATTTTGAATGTAAGACACTAAAAGCTTTGTGTCAAGCGCAGTAAAGGGTACCCGAGCAGAAAGAGTTCCTGAAATGTACTTTGCAAGAAAATATCCGTAACTTTGGAAAATACTAATATGGCAGTGACTTAGGTAGGCCTATGAAGGCCTTGGTGCAGGAATACCCACCCACCCTAAGTACAACTTTAATAATGTTATATAAGTAAATGAATACTCTAAGTTACAACCGCATGCATAAGATAAAATAATGTTTCTGATTGTTTCGTGTAATATTGCACTTAAAAAGAAGCCTCAAAGACTACTGTGCCGGCCTTGTTCACAAAAGAGCCTTTCACGAGTTGTAATCGTGTATCAGGTGGGATCCTGGGTCGTAAAAGTTTAAATTTTACGTATCTTATAAGTGGGTCTCTACGAGGTGGGACTGACTATTACCAGTCAGGCCCCTGGGCACAAAAATAATTATGTCACAAGTAGAGCTTTGATGAGTTGTAGCAGGCAGTCCCCTGAGACAGTTGCCCCACCTATATGTATGCACTGATGTCGGATAAATTTGTTAAGATATTTCTTCAATGTCATGTGAAAAGATACTTGTTCATAGAGAAACGCCGCAATCTAAGTGTTGAGAGTATGAATCTAAAATAACTGTTGTCTTCACAAAAAAGTACAAAATATATATAGAAAAGTATGATTTGCTTAAGTAGCTCACAATGTTTTTTACAAAATTTAATACAAAAACTGAACTTATAATATCTAAAATTATCTTAATGTTTATTGAGTTTTATATATACCTTTAAAGACAGCTCATATATTAAAATAAATTAACAGAAACATACTCAGGTATAAAGTTGGCGATATATCGCAGGCCTTCATTTGCAACGAATTCCGGGTGTGGTGGAGAAAAAGGGTGTGGACCACCTCCACCATTTCTTTTAACGCTACGTACTATCAGTGCACAGTGAGGAGATAGCTTGGGATTCAGTGGAGTCGGCCTATTGACAGGGAATACAATGGCGGAGTCCCCACATGTCAAGAGCACTGCCGCTGCTATGGTCAAATACCTGAAAAACGATCATTTATTTGGTTAGAAATGTCCACTCATTATATTTTGCTGATACAACAAAACAATAACAAATGCAAATATATAGTTTGAGGAAAATATTAAATAAAAATGAATTTATTAAACGTATTAATAAACATGAAAAATGACAGGTAAACTAGTCAACAAATAGTATTAATGTTGCCCGGCTGTCAAGGCTGTTTCGATAGCTTTTCAAGGCAACAGTCAAATGTTTCATACTTTGTGATGCGCTCTCGTCTAATCATGGCAACAAATTTATGCTAGGCGTGATGACAAATTTTCATTAAGTGTAATTAACTGCATAAGTCCAAGATAAAACACAAACCAATTCATTATTTACGAAATTTACATGCCGTGATTTTCTCCCATATTTTTTCAAGGAAGATCCCCCAAACTATAAAGATATGGATCACCCCAAGGGGAGCCTGAAAAAGTTTCCGAGCTTTGTTTCTCTAAAATAAAGTTTGAATTTGACAACACACTCAAAATTACTTACTAGAAACTTCCTTTTGTAATTTTAAACATATCAATAAGTAAAACGTTTTTATTCGTTTCAATTTGTATACTGTTGTTATAGACTATTGTTACGACAGCGGAAGTCAAGTGACGCTAGTAACACGTGATGAGTTTCTAGAAGGATCACGAAGGCTCGAGTGTTTGCCAGACGCCCTCTATTTTAATATATAAGGCCGGCAAATAAAGAGTGACAGCATATATAATTGCAGATAGCAGATTGAAGAGAGATATAGAGACAGATAATTGAGTCAAGTGAGCGGTAGTGAACATGAGTAAAGTGTGTGAATCGTTGTGAATTATAGCGTGTGTTGAAGTTAAAGTGACTGTGGAAATCCTGTATATGGCAAAGTTGTATTGAGAAAGAATAAACTAGTTTTATTTAAGAAAGGACTTGTATCGCTGAAGTTCCTCGGGAAAAATTTATACCGGAAATTAACATACGACCAGAGACGTAACACTATATTCCTAAAATGCCGTGTGTCAAGATCATCAAAAGGCTATACCTATGTCTGGTATTAGATTAGGTTAGCTATATTTCAGTGTTTCTATTTGGTTAGAAATGTTCACTGATTATATAACCGACCTTTGATCTTTCAAAGACATAAAAAAGTGCAGTGCGTATCAAATTGCATAAATTTTTATGTTTGGAATAATGTTTGTTTGTAGTTAAGCACAAGCTACACAATGGGCTATCTGTGCTCTGCCCACCACGGGTATCGAAACCAGGATTCTAGCGTTGTAAGTCCGCAGACATACCGCTGTGCCACTGGGGGGGGGGGGGGCTGGAATAATGTAATAATATTTGGCAGATTTTAACATTATTTTAAAAACATCTGTTGATGGGTGTCTTATGGATACTATTTATTCCAAATGTTTTCATCTGAGTGAAAGACGAGAGGAAATATACAAGATAAATATCGAAATATATTTCTACATTTGAAATTTTTGGTTATTGAAATATCGAAAACGTATGTAAAGTTTAGCGAAAAGGTTTTTTTATCTGTGGCTTTATATATCACCTTTGACTTAAACAAAACAAAAACAGTCTTACTTTAATATTATGTGTGGTTATTTCTAAATAGAAACACAAGTATAGAAGGCGACGTTTCGAAAGTCTTCCTCTACACTTGTGTTCCTGCAACTGGCAGTTGCCGTCCATTCAACAAAGTTTCACCATGAATTCTCTGCCTAAACAATCTATCAAAGAATATTTCTAGATAGTTACGTAATGTAATTTCTAGTTAAATTGTCTGATTAATATATTTTTCAAGTCTGTTCATACAATTCAAAGAGTCTATTATTTAAAAAAAAAAAAAGATTACGAAGAGTTGCAAAACTTAATCGAACTTTCCTTTTCGGTTGAATTTTGACCTTTGAACATTTGGAAACAAAATATTGGATCATGCATACTCAGTAGGTCTCTCCTTTTGGTCAAGAAAACATGCGTTAATGTATACATACAGTTCATAATCTTAGTTTGTAAATGCAAACGCTGCCTCCCCTTACATGATATTACAATTATAAATCGGTAGGAAGCATGTATACTAAGTTTGTAACGGATCGCCATTTATAACCAATTTTATCATTTTTTAAAAAATAAACAATATTAAAACATTTTAAAAGCTATTACTCTTTGATCAATATTTAAGAATCTGTAAACTGATTTCGGCTAAAGTTTATTAACATTATATACAATCATATTACATGGACGATACGTTTTTATTTTAACAGCTAACATTTTTAAACATGTTTGAAGCTGATAGTCTGTTGCACCTGAAGTAAAGCACTTTCAAAAGTTTTACATCTAACTTAATTTTTAAAGAGCTAAAATAAAACTATCATAACGTTCTTGATTTTAGTGGCTTCATTTATTAGATGCCAAACGATTTATTCCTGGGAAATAAAAAAACACAATTGAATGAATCCGTAGAATATTTTGATTGTTACTCTTCAGACGAACTTACTCCCTAAATGAGAAGTTTGATGTCTACAAATATTGTGAATTTTAGGCTAAGATAACGAAAAACAACACTGCTGAAGAAGTGTATACATTTCTATTTTAAGCATGTGTGTGTATCCACTACGATGTTCATAAGCAATAATTATTGTGTGGTCTTCATTACAATGGAATATCAGTCGCATCCTTGAAAGCTCGAATTCAAGTAGTTTCGAAGCATCTTCTTTTGGGGTCAGGGTGTCTCGGGATTCTTTTCACCACAGTGAGGCCTACTTGATCACTGTCATCTTTAACACAATACTTCCATCTCTTCCTTGGTCTTCCTCTCCGTTGTTTTGTCTTTCACTTTCCTCTTTGCTGCCCATTTCACCAAAATGTCCTGGTCCATCTTTTGCACATGCCTATACCAAATTATTCTTAATTCCTGCACCTGACAACAAAAAGAAAATGATGATTTGTAGCATCAGAGATAAGGTGCTATTTCTTCAGACCCTCGAAGGGCAAGTCAAACGTCGGCCACCAGGAATCCTACTGGCCTGGGGTTGCTAGGCTTAAGGTGGGCGAACTATCGGTCTAGGGCTAAATAGCCCTCCCACCGCTAAAGATGTCCCTGTCGGAGTAACTTTCAGGGTTGGTAACTGCACCTGTCCACGTTTTGGCAACCACATATTCACGAGACTAGTCACCTTGGGCCAAAGCCCATAGGAGAGCTAGTGCACTAGTCGTCGTCCCTGCTGTGCCCCGCAGTATCAGTTCCAAAGATCTGAGTAGAATTCACCATTGCCCAACGGTTTCGCCATTATCCTGACAGAGGAGTTTTCCGCAAGGGTTGTCTTCTCTTAACCCTTGGTTAAAAAACCTTAGCCCGCAAGACAACAGGGTACTTTCGAAGCATGAACTTAGTGAATTGTAGCTTACGAGGAACTTTGATTAGCGGGAGGCGTGAACAATTGCGATAACACGTGTGCGGTATGATTTTCAGGGGGAGGAAAATACTGAGAAAAATACTTTCACTCCTGAAAATCTTTATTTTCTTATCTTTATAGGTCGTACTAACAAATGAGTTGAGAAAAAAAATGCGAATAGTTAAAAAAGCTTACATTGCTGTTTGTTCTTTAGTTATTATATTTCTATCTCGACTTATCCTTAGAACTCTTACTTGCTTGGAAGCTATAGCCATTTCCTCTTATATTGGTTAGTGATTAGAGTGCCCGACTATGAATCATTCGGGTCCAGTTACTAAAACAAAAAGTCGCGCTCCGCACTTTGGGGTAGTGAGTGCGTTATAAGGGTAGCGGTCAAATTCCATTATGCAGTCAGACAAGAGCAGTCTAAGAGTTGGCGGTGAGTGCTGTTGACTAGCTGCCTTAGAGATCTAGTCTATCTTTTCAAAAGTAGAAACAGCTAACGCAGATTTCCCTTCAAAATTTTTTATGTGAACATTCGAAAAAAATAAGAAACAATCGTTTTATATTGATAAACTTATATGATTTTAAACAACGAATATACGTCACAGCCTCTGGGTCCAACAATACAACAAAGTAAATATATTTTACCAATTTGTGACCTTATTTTCGGGACGGTTACTTAAGCATGACATAATTATGACGCTACTTCGAATGTTTCAATTAATGCAACTTTAATGGCCAATAAATAACGTCAGATATTATTTTTTAGTTACTTTAGCTCTTTAAATTGCTGAACTCTAATATAAATCTCGAAAACCCTCTCAAAGCCGACCCTTGGAGTGGGCGACGTGAGCTCCCGCATAGGGCGCTTACCCCAAAAGGCTTCAAAATCGACATCAGAAATAGCAGTTCTTATCAATTTTACAGGGGCAGGGGCGCCGAATACATAGTTCGTACAGGTCGCAATTTTACCTAGGGCCGGGTCTGACCTTTCTACTGTTGTATTTATATTTCATATGCCAGACTTCGAGAAGTGTTTAGGGGTAAACAACTTTAACCTGTCTTCATCAGAGTCAGGTTTGTTGAACGACATACTTTACGGCACAGTAACAGAAACGAGGACGAAGAGTTTTATTATGCATGCCATGACCGACTATTAACTATATATATATATATATATATATAAATATATTAAAAACAAAAATCGTGCTGCACTTAATATACTTTCCTCTTTATTACGAACAGTCCTGTTTGCGGTACAAGCGGCCAGAGGCATTGCCCTTGAATTGCGGTAACGGTTTAATAGGATGAACACTGAGTTGAAAATAAGGTGTTATGTAATTATTTGTAGTCTGTATAGCCGAAACAAGGATCATTCAATTTCTGATGGGTATTTTGTACTATGTGTATACGTTTATATACATATATATACTATAAAATCATGATATCCGTAGACTTTAGGCTAAAGACTCTTAAGCCAACATTTTTAATATATCAGTATGATACTTAAAACACACTTTAAACATCAGCTAGAGATGTCATTTGGTCATAAGAGGCTCAAAAGCTGATCAAACATTTTGTCAATTTTGGAGTTTCATACTTGTTTTAAAACTATCTGTTGATCACAGAATAGACAAAGATTTGAATAAGGATAATTAGTCAACTTTTAATAACGTGTGAAGTACTTTATGGTACTTAGTCTTTCACTGCAAAATTAGAAACAGCTAGCGCAGATTGTCATCGAAAAGTTTTGGGCGAATATCCAAACATAAACATTTTATATTCATAAACCTAAAAGATTTTCAGACAACGAAAATGCGTTATAGCTTTCTGGTCCAGCAATACAACAAAGTAAAGTTACGTTTGGAATTTCTGCAACCTCATTTTCATTACGATTACGTAAGTTGGTTTAAAATATATCTGTTGTAAGTTATATTCAGATAAATTTTCGTGTAGTTAATGATTTCCTTGTAATCCGGATATCGAAATGTTATGAAGATGTATTAATCTTTTTTTTTTCTTCTTACATAAAGTACATATATGATTCCCAATTTGCCCCTGAAGAAGAAGGTCCACCGTTCGAAAGCGCTCGGGTTATAAGGTTTTTATCCTTTTGTATCAAGACTTATTGAACTTGCGTGTTTTTCTGACATGGTGGACATATATGAAAATGGCTATCCCATACAAGCTTGTACAAGTTCGACCCTGTGACTATCTGCTTTCTGGGGTAACGTAGAAATTCAAATAATAAATTTGGATCGTTATTAAATTGGGTGCTAATAATCTTAACGAAGCAGTTCATCTTTTCAGTCGGTGTGTGTGAAGTCTGCTTAAGAAAATCTTGAAAAGGATAACTATGTGAGTAAACTAATGAAATTCTTGAAAAGCAGTGGGCTGTAACCGGTTCTGCTGTGTTTCTCGGTAACATCCTCTGGTAACAGTTCTTACAAACTATTCTAGTTTATATTTTATTCATTTATCTCAAACGCGTTACACATTCACCGAAGTGAAACATCAACTATTTCAAACAAGTTATGTTAATGAATCTAGACAAAATACTACCATCATAATAATAATTTGAATTGGTTGTCACATATATATAAATAAGTGAATAAAAAATTGATAATAAAATCTGACGGTTTGTTTATATACATGTTATTCTAAGACTTTTACCCAAGAATACGGTTTCAAATAATGCTGCATTCATCTAGTTGCACATGGTAATACATTGCTTCTGGTATTACGTAAGTATTTGATTTAGATATGAGCTCCGGTATTGAGCGAAAGGTCTCGTCAGCGTTAGTTATAGCAGATATGATGTGATTGATATATTTTTATACATCCATTTTACTTTCACTCAAGCGTTATTGAAATGCACACCTATAGTTATGCTCATACTAATTATACAAATTCAAAAAGCTCAGAACACTGGACACCGAGATTGGAAATCTACACTCGCAATATACAATTTAAAACCAGTATTGTCCTAAATAACAGAATTATTGTTATAATACTTAATACAGCAACCGTTAGAACTAGATTCAGCCAACTACTGCATCAAAATTGATATTACGTTTTACTAACTGACTTAGGCGTCTTTGACTGCTGCTTCAAAGTAAATAAGTTAAGGGATATAGACGTCTTTGACTGTTACATCAAAGTAAATACATTAAGAGACCTAGGCGTCTCAGACTGCTTTATCAAACTGAATACATTAAACCATAGTTTCCAAATAGCCACTGACTCCTAAGAATTTAGGAATGAATAATGCCAAAATATCGCCTTCTTTTGTTCGAATTGGATTGGAATGAAGCTTTAGCAACAGCTCTGACATCGTCCATGAAAAAATTTGGAGAAAAGGGCAAATCTATATATTTATGTACACATGTAAACATTTAAACAAAAATAGCCTGTATCACATGGTTAACCTCAATAAACACTGATTAGAAAGACCAGGGAAATACATTTATATCAGCCCAAACTTTGGATATTAAAAGTGAGTAGGTAAAGTTTTCTTTGGCAAAAACTTTAAATAAAATGTTACGTGATATGTGCAAGAAATTTTTCTGACATTAATAGTTACAATAAAATACTTCAAACGTTTTCAAAGCAAAGCAGAACAAAGACTTCATCGTGTTTAATTATTTAGATTATGCAAATATATAAACATGAAACTTGTGAGTCTAATCTAATAAATTTGGCATGATAATGCTCTAGTTTTAAAGAATTAATATTATAGCTGTGGATTTTTGTTTAATATATTCTTCATGGTTTGTTGATAATCATTAATGCTAGACACACATATATCCCTTCCTATAGATTATGTCAACCTATGTTTTATTAGCTTCATATTTTCTAGATAAATAGGTAGTTATAAAAAATGAAACTTACTTAAAAAAGTCATTATCTGTTATACTATTTAAAACAAATATTCACAATCCTGAATGGTAGTTTTATAAAATGCACGAAATTTTGTTTCCCTATTATGATAAAGGCATATAATTAGGTTTTCTGTGGTATATTTTTTGAAAGTAGTAATTAAAAATATATTTTTATTCAAAAGGATATAGCAGCTTAATTAATATATAACAGTAATGTTATTCTGTTCTTCTACTACACGTATGTTTGTAGGGAAATAATAGAAAGGAAAATCACTACTTAGTAGTGAGTTTAGTTTAAACATGTATAACTACCATACTTCATAATACTTTCAATTTTAGTCGCTTGATGGCAGCACGTAATATTTTTATACAACGACTTGGGACTTTTCATTGCATAAACATGGTGTCTGCCAAAACAATTTCGATAAAATAAATAAATAATAAATAATCATCTAAATTAATATTCAATGTATCAAGCAGCTGAAGTCTTTATATAACTGACAGAGCTATGTACAAGTTATTGATGTCTGAGTTTATTAACACCACTGTCTTTATTATCAAAACAATATATTATATAGCAGTCTTCTTTCCTTCAAATCTTCAGTGGGTCCTAGGGTCTGTATGGTGTATTCCCTATCAATTTCTCTGACTTTGGTATGTGGTCATCGACCTTATGCATAAACAGCAACCCAGGGTGAAGTTAAAAGGCATGGGTTCTTGAAATATCCACTGAACATTGGTACAATGTTCCAAGGTACTTGTACCATCCTGGAGGATCAGTTCCAGCTTCACTGGTTTCCAATTTCATTCATAATTAGATTATCTATAACTACAATACATACAAGACTCTATTGCATGTGTGATAGCAGTATTTTGACATAAAAAAATAATCAGAACTTTGTTTATTTCTGAATAGATGAAGATGATATTGAACTATTATTAAAACATTTATTTAAAACACAAAAGAATATATTTCCTGGCCAGAGAAGCATGTGGATTCAAAATCTAATTATTGTATAACAAAAACAAATGAAATGTTTATATGCTGAATTTGCATAATTTATTTCAAGGCAACTCTACTCCCATTAGTTGTAAATCAGCTTTGAAAACATCGCGATAATCGCTAAACCTGTCTTCCACCATTTGTCAGTAAGCGAATGTTAAAACCAAAAACAGGGTGTCGGTTCAAATACATCAAACGATAGCTCTCTTTATGCTGTACTTTGGTCTGGCTGATTTCATTGGCTACAAAAGTATTTACTGTTTGAATACACATAAATAAAACTTCAAAACCATTTAAAAATCTTTTTAGCCATTGGATTTGTAGAACCAAGGCCATATAATAAACTTCATGATGTGGATTACATAATGCATAAACCGATGCATAGATA